CCTTGATTTTATATACAATAATCTATATAACATCTTATATACTCTAAAATATGAAAAATATATAATTGAATGACCAACTAAATGAGCTATTAAAAACATTTGCAATGCATATATAATTGTCATATGGTCATCATAACATCACATGAGCAACATTATTTTATTGTCATCACAAATTGACTGGAACACAACATGGTTATATCTTAATAACAATACTAAACAAACAAATAACTATACCAATTTCTCACTTAATTAAAGCAAATCATTCAAGATCAAAACACTACTTAATATCTTACCAACACCATACCACCTTCATGAACTATACTCAGATAGCTTTTAGCACAACAACTGCATTACTTGCCAAGTACCAGAATACTAATTGCATTGGCTACTTTGCCCTAACCCAACAAATCTTATCAGTATTATTACAGAAACAATTTCTGAAACCATTAATAATAACTCATTACTAGACATTACACAATCACAACTACAACAACTAAACTATTTACTAACTCAACATAACAGCCTATCAGTCAATAATGCTCATCGAGAACAATGCAACATATATATAACACTACAAGGATATGTGCCAACAAATTTAATTACTACAATCAGACCTTATATTACATCTCACCAAACTGCAACTTCAATAACTACCAAACTACTTACCAAAATATCATAAAAATTATATGATTGTATATGGAAACCATATACTACTAAATTAATACAATAGAAAAAAAACAACAATATTACATCAAATAACAGATCTACAACTCACAGAAGATCTTATAACTACTTTAATTGACATTGCAACTTATACTATACAGTCTGCCAACTATGTAGTTTGTCTAACCAACTTCATACAGAAGATAACAACTGCCTACTACTAGGAAATACATTTCGTAAAATTGATCTTTGGTCTATATATTGAATACTATATAGCTAACCTACAAACAATATCTTATATTATCAAATCTAGATGAGTTTTAACCACTTTAGTAGATTTAGGTTGCAAATAAATTAAATAAAAACCTGTTTATAGTCTGAGCTTCATTTTTGTAATATATTTGTAATTAGAATAAGTTTGTAATTTATATCCAGAGAAGCTCCTAGAGGCTTCTTTAACAAATCAATAAAAATATAAGCAAAACCTTATCTTAAAAAAAAAAAAAAAAAAAAAAAAAAATTATTATTAAAATATATATAATTAAGTTTTTTTTTTAATATTAAAATAAATATATGTAACTTAGGATTTTATTAGTAGTATCAGTTAGTCAATATCTGTTGATGTAATAGCATAAAGGTGATCATGAAAAGAGTATACAACTAGTTACTTGTACAACTTTAGTTATTATCTAATTTAAGTAATCTGTCTGAAGGTTTTAGACTAGTTGTTATACCTAGGACCTATCTGTAAATTCTTTATTTAAATACTTTAATCCTATATTTATTATATTCTACTAATGACTTCAATAAACTAGTGAAGATATATTATAATTACTAAGTTATATTTAACTTTGTACTAAATCTACTATTATATTCTGTATTTCATATTTATAGCTTATTTGATATTGCTTTGGTCTAAACTATTACTTGTAGTTAGGACTAACTATTAAACTACTATATTTTTGTAAAGTTTACTCAAAATTTCAATATTTGTCTTTCTGATGTTTTCTTTATCATTTTCTATTAATTGTTATTCAAGACCAATAGGACTTTTTAAACTTCCAATTCTGATAACCTAATATAATATATCTTAATATTCTTTTCTTTTAGTAATTTCAACAACTTGATTGATTATATGCTTCTCTATACATTTTAATATTCAATTTATTCACTTATCTTTTTAAAGTGTTTTATGAGCTTTCATTAGTCTGATAGTACTGTTAAAAGTTTTGTATTATCTCTTTATTTAGGATTTTTAAGTAGGTTTCTAATTCTTTAATTTCTTCACTTTCTATACCTGATGATCTTATCATGAATTTGTACTAAAGTCTTATGCAATATTGATTATTAACATTCCTTTATATAAGTATAATATTATACTTTACATAGATGCCTTGAGCTCCTATTTAAGATGATGCAACTGAAGGTTACAGATACACTAATCTAACCAATTGACAGAGACAATTATTGTAATATAAGTATATTTTTCAAAATTTGGCATTTATAGAATTTGAACTCTAAACCTGCCACTTGGAAGTTAACAACTTAACCACTTCACTAGATCACCATATTTTATGTAATTAAGTTTTAAAAAAAAATTGCTACATACTTATATATAATATTATGTTGAGTGTCTATATGGTAATATAATAATAAAAATATAATGTAATAATTTTTATATATTAATCAACTATTAATTAAATAAAATATTATAATTTGATATTACAAATATATATATATATATATATATATTTTCAAGTTATTTTTTATAAAACTAAATTTTTACTAACTCTTAACAAGTTCTAAACCTTTTTGTTATCAATAACTTTTTTTGATTAAAGTATCAAATGTAAAAAAAATCTATATAACAAAAAGTTTAACCTTAATACAAACAGTTATAAGTTATATTTATGCTTCAGTTTTTATGTCTTGTATTGTTTTGTTAATACCAAACCTTTTTTTAAAAAAAAATAAAATCAAGAAAACTTTCATTTAGGTTTTGAATCTTAAACTTGTTTTTGAAAAAAATTTAATTTAAATAAACATTAGAAAGAGTTGTATTAAGAAAACCTATTTATAACATTATTTGATATGCTTTCAATAATTTTTTTTATACTTGATAAAACATACTTTGACCCAAACCAAAAAATTATAAACTATAGTATAGTAATATTTGAAAAAATTACTATAATTTGAGCAAGAAAGTCAGTTCAGTCGTTATACAGTAAATGATAATTTTTAATTAAAATATCCCGTGATCTTGATATAGCGATCGGGGCATTTAGTAAAAATACCCAGAACCATATATGTACAAGCAGAAATGGATCAGGATATTTTTATTACGAATAAGTAACAGACAAATTATTATTGGTTTGGACCAATTAAAATAAAAAAAATAAAATAATCATTATGTAATTTAAAATAACTTATTGTTAAGAAGACAGAAGATAAATTTAAAAATATTTTTCTTTTAGACAATACCAAATAATTGCATAATGATGTATTATTTATTTCAAACCCCTTTTAATTTTGTTATATACAGTAGGTTAAGATCGCATCCTATCTTGCATAATGATTTCTCCTTAACTAACATCTATATTTTATGTTAATTCAGTACTTTATTGTATAAAAATAGGTCCTTGTAAGTAATACTATAGAGTACATATTATTTTTGCATTATCTTTAAAATCCCTACGTACAACAATACTGGTTTAACATAAATTATAGATGCCCCCCTTATTAACAAATACAAAAAAAAAAATTATTAATGTCGTACTTTTTTTTTTTGATGCCTAATTAATCAATTAAGTCTTTGTATAAATGTTTAGTAGTGTGATAAGGATTCACAATTACAATTGACATGGGTAATTCATGTCAATTAATGGAAATTGATTCAAAAAATGACGTATGTAAATTAACTGGAATTGATAAATTGATAAAAAAAAAAAAAAAGAAGCTAACCTAAAAAAAAAGAAGAGAGAACTCATTAATAGAAGATGCACGACATTATCTTGTTTGCTTCTTATTTAGTTAGTAACTTAAACGATCTAAACGTTATTACAAATCAAGTTAGTTTCGATAACAAAAATACTCAATAAAATAAAATACTGATAAATTTGATAAATTGAATAATATCGATATTCCAAAAATTTTCTTTCAAAAACGAACAGAATTTCATTGATTAATCTTGATAAATACAATCTTATATTAATAGACTAACTATTGTAAATTGTAAAAAAAAAAAAAAAAAAAAATCATTCATACAGTAGTATAAAAAAATCCATATATGCTCGTATGAAGGTAAACTCTCAGTAGAAAAAGCTTATCCTACAAATTAAAGTAAATGCACTATGACAAAATGTAGCATCAAGATTTGAAACACATTTAACGCCAAATAAAAATTAGATATTGGGGATAAATTTCTTTTATTTCCGTATTAACTCGAGAGATACAAATACTGAAATATTCAGATATTCGTGAATATCTTAACTATTTAAAAAAAAAAGCTTTGTAATTGTTATAAATTGGTATATATTAAAAATCATGTGACCAATATAAAATACGAGGCTTTAGCACATCCCTTATTATTTGAGTAACCCTTTGTCTAAACGGATAATGGTACGTACAGTACTACAGTACGTAAATTAAATTTACATGCACGTTAATATTTTTAGAATATTTTTAGAATCCGAATCCGATTACGATTAGCATTATATTTTATTGCAATTTTTGTCACGTGCTTGGTTAATACAGTATTTCCACAACGCGTAAGGGTAATATGAAATGTATGAATGCTTAACAAAATTTTCTTTTTCTTTTTATTTGAAATTTTTTTGTCCTAAACTCGAAAAAAAGTATTTTTTGACACCATGAAAAGAAAGTCGTATGTCATATAAAAAACTTGTAATACTGAGCTCAAAATAAAATTAAATGCCAATTGAACCATATGAACTTGAGAAAAAAAAATGAACAAGAGATAAAAGAAATATTTACAAAGAATTATTTGCATAAGGGAAATTGTACTCAAAAAGTATTATATCCCAATTATATATAATAGAAAAAAAGGAAATGAACGATAAAAGACTCAGCCAGAAACAAGAAACCAAAATTGTATATTACACATCATTATGATGAAAGAAAAAAAAAGTGTGTTCTAATTGGGCATTGATTTTTTATACAGAAGTGACCATACAAAAATGGTTGAAAGAAAACAAAAGATAACTAGTTATATGACAACACTTCTAATAGACGCGAACGTATTAAGTTCTTGGTGTAATATTCGATTCTAAATGAATTTTTGAGTTTTATGTTAGCTTAAAAGGAAAATTGCGAAGGAATTAATAAAATTCCCATCGATCCCATTGATCCCATCGCACACATGAAGGAAGATAATCAGCACGAGAGATATTACCAATTTTTGCTAAAGACAACTAAATAATTGAAAATAATAAAGATTAATTATGTGATACCAACAAAACTATATATATATGTATTAAAAAAAAAAGACTTACAAAAATTTCAACTAAATTAACTGGTTCTCTAGTTTGTGTACCAGCTTCCCTGTTATTACTGTTATTGTCAGGTACCGAGACTTCATTGGACTTTTCAGATTTAGCTTGATTCGCATCAGTTTTCTTATCTCCAAAGAAATTGTCACCAAATATTTTAGTAAGTAAATTAGTAACTGGAGATTTATCAACTTTGGCAATAGTTTGATCCGATTTAGTATTATCCAATTGCTTCAATAATTTCATGGAAGGACTATCCAAAAACAAGTTATTATTATTGAGAGTATTTTCTTCAGCGTTTTCATCGATTTTGTCATTAGATTGTGATTTAAGAAGCGGAGAAAACATGGCGAATCCTTGCTTGTCAAAATCGATTTCCGAAAGTGAGGCAGTTGTTGGAAGAGAAAGACGCTTAACAGATTTTGGGGGAGCTCTTGAACATTCATTTTCGCACCCTAAAGAATATCTCCATAAATTGGGTTTATAAATGCTTGATCGTCTCGAATTTCTTTTTGAGGAATTTGAAGAAGTAGAACCAGTAGAATAAGATGTCGGAGAAGAGCTAAGTGGTGGAGCATTACTGCTAACGTATTCTTGGTATTCTTTCAAGAATTTTTCAACGGTTGGAGAGATAGGTTCATCACTTTCATCTGTTTCTGTTTGTAGAATATCAGCCAAGAAGTCTAGATAATCGTTTATATCTTTATATAATACTTTCGCATTGTTAACCTCATCTACGTTGTTCGAAATTGAAGTAGTCATTTTTGTTAGATATTATATTATTTTGTATGTGGTTTTCGCGAGAACGTAAATTTTAAGTGATGTTTGTTTATATATTTTTTTTTATAAGAAATTAGATCTTAATAAATCAATTATTATTTATTTATTCCCGGTAAAAAAATGATAATAATAACAATAATAAGAAAGGATATCTACAGTATATATATATCTGATATGTATGTATGTATATATGTATATATGTATATAATGATGTAAAATTATTATATATAATTAAAATATATAAGACATAAAAAGATAATTGAAGGATTGTTTCGCACAACGAAAAGTTGTTACTTCATATAAACCTTCTTTTTTACATCACTTAAAGAGAGGCCTTGAGACAATGCAGTGCATAAGCACGCCTTAAAATTCTTTCAACAAAAAAGGGGCTGATGTGGTCTTTTATGTAAATTCAAGGCTTAGTGCCATTTGGATATGTTGATATATTTTTCGTGTTATTTTGTATTTGTACTATTTGTACTTTAAAAAAAAAACGAGATTCTTATCCCGTTTTTGTCAATGTATCATTACTGTTTTTATTAGCTATGCGTATGTATTTTTGATTTGAATTACAGATAATGCATATCGATATAGTCGACTAACACCTAAATATATTGTTCAATTTAATTTCTTTAAAATAAATATATAAATAATTTCGTCGGTTAAATAAAGGCCATAATATAGATATCAGATATTATATGTATGTATATATATATCAAATATATAATATATATATGTACTTTATCTTTTAAATACTATCTAAAGAAAATTTATCTATTGGAAGGTTGGCTATGATTGACAAGAGATTTTTTACCTTTATCGTTATTCGTATTGTCACACCTATTAAACCAATACCCCCTCTTTAGTTTAATTGGGAGTATATCAAATTTGACATTTTTATAAAAAAAATTGTTATCATATCCTAAAAGGTCTTTATTGTGTTGTAATCAAACGTTAAATTTAATTTTTAGAAGACATCATTATCTGTTATGTTCATTAATATTAACTGGGGTAGTTGTGAAACTGCATCTATAATCGTTAAATATAGTAACAAATAACTTGTTTATCTACACTATTTCAGTATTGGTATTGGTAATTTCTTACGAAACTAGATCTCCCGCTTTCGAAACTAGACTTTCAAACGTGGAATTGATTTAACCACGCATGGCAGGTGTCACGTGCAAAGTTGCCATATCTCTAGTTTCTGCATATCATTAATGCTAATCTTTTTTTCGTATAGCTGAGAATTAGATGTTAGCTTTAGGATGTTCAACGTGCGTAGAAAGTATATGCAAATACAAATATGCAATACTCCGTACTCAGTTATATTAGCATTTATCTCGAAGTTTCTGCTAAGTTGGTTCTATTTATTCAAAGTAAATATTTACTATCTTTTTTTTAGCCGAAACTTTCCGTAAATAACTGAATATAGTTGTTTATGTACGAGAAAAGATAAACAAAGAATTTTTTGACATAATACTTCTTCATAGTAAAATGCTAAAATTGTGTATACAGATGTACTCATTTAAAAGTTTGTTTCATCCCTACCTTTGTATTCGCATCTGAATGTTACAAATGTTAAAAAAAGTTTTAGTTTCCCACTCTTTTCTATTAAATTACATTTTTTAATATGTTATTGGCAAAATTCTATTTGCAGGTAGTTCTTATCTGTATTTTTATCTTTAGGCTGTTAAAAAAAAAAAAAATTGTCAGAATGTAAATGTATGCCGTACATTTGATCTTTAACTGTAAATCGTAATTCAATGCGCATAAAAAAAAAAAAAAACTTGCTCGGGACGTACATACACACTTACATCTTAATTCTCATGTACATATGTAAGGGTCTTTTTTTGTTCTAAATAATTTGTACATAAAAACTTGAAATTTCAGGCTTTCATGTTGTAAACTAGTGTCACATGACACTGCGAGTTCAATTTTTTAAACTTAAAATACGTCATGTGTTTTTTTTATGCATGCATACGCGTGGAAATACGAACTTTAGGCTTAACAGGACTTATGACTTCGTGCATATTCTTAAAATGGTCATTGTTTTTCTTATGTGGAACTTGAAACTCTGCATGCATTCTTATCGTTTATTCCCAAGAAATTAAAAAAAAATTTTAAGCAGGGGACAAGTCACGCATCACATACAATATTCGTTACACGTTTTACCTATTCATTTATAGCACAATTCTAAGTATGTACGTATGTACATATCTAAATATCTGATATACAACTTTATACAATGAAACCTAAAATTTATTTATCTATACGTATACTTATCTCAGTACCTGTTACGTCATAACAAGGATTCATATTAAATTTACATCAAATCATTTTTTTTTTAGCAATTGATTTAAATCAAAGTTTAATAACAATTTTCATTATCAAACTTTTTATATTTGTCAAATGATTAAACTTTTATAATAAATATTTTGAATCACAAGATTTTCGGTGACACGTATCAGAATTATTAATCGTTATTGTTTCAATATCGATATCGTAAGCATATACCCCAAATCGGTCATTATCTTGCCTAAAATTAATAATTAAATTTTTTTGTGAAAAAACAAAAAAAAATTTAAAAAGCAGGATTATAATCACGTAAACATCTTATTAAACTTGAAATAATAGTTTAATATGGTAATGAAACTCGCTATTTTTTTTAATATGTATATAGTATTTGTACTTTACTAGCATATACTTACGTTACCATATCTCAGGGTGTACAATGTTCAAGAATAATTATTAAACATGGACATTTTTAGACAATGTCCAGGTCTACATGATTATCCAATGAATGGTAGGCTAGTAGTGACAGAGACAGATGTCCAATCAGATCTAATTACAAGAATTTTTTATAGTGTAATAGTAAACTGCAATAACCTTTGAACCAGCAAACTCACGTAAATAAAAATTATACTTGTCAGATTCGTTTTAATGTGCTCTTTAAAGTGACAACTTTACAAATTATCCGATTTTAATCATTGATTTTTTATCTTAATACACTAAGAAACGGAATAAATTTGTTGTGTTACATAACAATAATACGCAGAAAAAAAGGTACGTTTTTGATGTTTTCATTAAAAATACATCAAAAACAAGCGCTTTGATATCAATTTGCATAAAGATTGTTCTGCTCTAGATAAAAATTAGAAAAAAAAGAAAGTTATTACTTTAAAGAGTACATTAAAACGAACCAGACAACTTCAAAAGTTATTACAGATATTTTTACTATTCATCATTATCGTTATATCACTACTACTGCTACCATACAACGTAACATGACAATCATGCTTATACTGCTCTCCAATAAAAATATTATTCTGAGAAATTTTAGTATAAATTATATATATGATTTTTCCATGCTCAATCTCAACCTAATAGTCATGTACTGCTAATTTTTTTTTAACGAGTTGATTATGAACAATTATGAGAGTGCCAATTCTTTTCTCCACAGTATTGATACACAAAGTATTTAGTCTGTACGTATGTACATTCGTACGTACGTAATACATGAACCAATATTTAATATAGATTCAACATTTCGATAAAATTATTTCTTCTTACGTAACATATCATTTCTTGAGCCTAACTGTCAAATAAACAAAACAATAACTCATCAAATGAAATTACTCAAGTCACTGATATCTTTTAATCAACTGAATTTCACTGATAAGAATGATTCAAATGAAATATTCTGGCTTGGTTATTGTTATGAACATGGAATTGGTGTGGAAAAGAATAAGATTAAAGCATTCATTCATTATCAAAGATCTGCAGAGATGAATAATTCTAATGGAATGTATCAAGTTGGTTATTGTTATTTTTTAGGAATTGGGGTTGAGATCGATAAGCATAAAGCATTTGTGCATTATTTAAAATCAGCTGAGGCAGGTAATTCTATGGGAATTTATAAAACTGCCGTTTGCTACAAATACGGAATTGGCGTGGAACAGAATGATGAAAAATTCAAAGTGTGGATTAAAAAGTAAGCTATTTGATTTCATAAATATATTTGAATTTTACATTTTAATTTAGAAATTAAAATTAATTTTTTTAGAGAGTAAATATAAAATCATTTTGTTTGCGATAGTTTACGACAATTTATTTTTTAAATAATATGACTCATTTTATTCGCTTTTATTTAGTCCGTGAGTATAAAAAAACATTAATTAATGTGACGGATTAAAATGAAATGAGTGATAGTGTCAAATAGACAAGCCACCGAAAAATACAAATTTTGAATATCATTTTTTAAGAGTTAGGACTAGTGTTTAGGGGTAGAATTTATAATAAACAAGTTTTATGGGTCAAATAGAAATCCCTCATTTCATCTTAATCCGATTTCATGATGATCTGCGACAATTAATATGACCATTTAAAATAAGCTATCCAAATTCATCAATATTTATTATTTAATTCATTCGCGTTAATATAGTGTGTGAGTATAAGAACATTTATTAATCAAAGTATTTAAACTAAGTTATTCAAATTTATGTTTGCTATTTGATTTTTATTTGCGTTAATTTAGAGAGTGAGTATAAGAACGTTTATTAATTCAAGTATAGACAACTCTCTTTATAACGAATTGACAGTCCTTATAGCAAAAAATGGTAAAAGTTTCTTATAGAGTAATTTACTACATTTCTAACTCTATAAAAAATTTATTTGAAAAGTTCGTTATATCCAGAGTCGACCGTATTTAAAATAAGCTATTCAAGTTCATGAATATTTACAATATAATTTTATTATAGTCCGTGAGTATAAAGAACAATTTTATTAATCTAAGTACTTAAAATAAGCCAATCAAATTCGTAAATACATATTCACGGCTTAATTTCATTTTATTTGCGTTAATTTAGTCTGTAAGTATAAAGTATATTTATTGTTGGGGATGATGCTGAGAATTTGAGGTCTCAATTTAAAAATATAAACCTTACTAAAATCCACATATATCCTTTTACTATAAACTCTAATCC